AACATGATCTGATCTTCCTGTTATTAAAAAGAATTATACCAAAATTAGATCCAACATTTGAATAGTTTTTATACAGGTCTTTTTGTGAAGAAATTTTCACAAGGACCATAAACTGCATAGGTGGATTAGCTTCTGAGGATGATCACTTGTCCAAAAATATTTGTTAAAGAGAAGCTCTTCAAAGCATGAGGGGGTATTAGGGTATCAAAAAAAGCTATACAAGGTGCTGTCAACTTGTGTCAATCTTTAAACAGAGCTCAATTCATCTCTGGGGACCAAAGTAAGTAAAATGAATGATACAGAACTAGTATAATAAAACAAAGGAAACAACAGTGAACTGAATTGTCAAAATCTCAGTAGACAGTTATAAACAGGATGTTTAGACAAATTATTTCTTCACATTCAAAATATTTCTTTACTTATGATTTATTTGTATCTTTTATTTTTTGCATGGGATTTATATTTGATTGTGTCCTATTTCTTATAATGTACTGCCCTCTAGCCCTAGCACCTTACTATCAACTCCAACAGTGTGAATTTGAGGTAACACATTGTAAGAAAGAGGATTTTCTGTAAATAATCACACAATTGCTACAATCATTTAGAAGTAATATGCACTTTAGGAGACAAGTATTTTACCTGAAGGTTTGGGTATTCATCTAAAAAGAGTTTCCTTTGAATGGTTTATGGGTCTACCAGGATCAAATGATAGACTAGAAAGTCTTTTTTGACAAGGAAAGTGTTACACCAATTAATGTGTTCAGTTTTAGAAAACATTTTTGCATTAAGGACACCATTCTCCAAGCGAATCAAACAATAAAATCTGGTTGCACTAAGTTACATAAAAGGAAAATAACATGCTAATTACCTCTTCTTCTTGCTGACTCTGCAGCAATGAGGTTTTCTTTCAATGTGTCTAATTTTTCTGGTTCATCTTCTAGTAATACAACATTAACTTCACTGGCATCAAATTGCTCTTGGCTTAAGATCTCTTTTTGCCTATTCAGCAGCTCAAATAACTCACAGAATGCCTTGTGGAAGCCATCTTGAAGCATATCAAGACAAAGGTTGTGTTTATATGAATTTCGGTATCTGAAATAATAAACGGTGTCTTTTATAAAACATGCATGAATAATTAATTTTTAAATGCGACAATTAAAGTTCGTTGAACCGTGAGTGATGGTAAGAAATTGACGGTGATGAGTAGTTTGACGTTGAGAAAACTCAAACTCAACGGCTATCAAAAATGGCAGGTCAATGCAAAAAGCACTCGTCATATTTAGTCAATATTCTAGCAGAGTAGACCAAATACCTCGCAGTATCGATAAAAGCATCTGGTTTTTCTTTAGCTGTCTCAGGCGTTGACGAAAAATCTTTACTATATCCAGAAAGGGTTTGCCTTCCTTGAGGGCCGTTAGGCGATACTCCTTGGCCTGAATGATTTCTTGTTTGTTTCTTTAAAGTCGACTTTGAAGGTGGCTGAGGGATATGTTTAATAACTTCTTGAGTTACTACGCCACCGACTTTCAGCGTCGGAAGAGTGGTTATCGACATATTGTGTCAATGATAATTCAGTTCGCAAGACTTTGACAATTTCGCGTTATCCGCCATTTCAGAATCACTGGTTGCGGGGAAACGAAAACATTGATTAGGGCCTCGTTCGCATAGTGACGCTGCGTGTGTGTGTGTGTGCAAATTTATGATGTCACGAAAACAATTTTCAGAATTTTTCAATTTTGACCAGATAACCTGAAAGAACATCACGTAAATAAGCAAAATCAGTGTAATATGTTACGAATTAGCCGAGTATTGACCCTATGAGCACAGGCCTCCCCCTCCATCAAATCCCTGTTATATGGCCTTGGCTCATACCAGGCCTGAATAGAGTTCTACAATGATGACATCACAATTATCTATTTTAAGAACTATTTAATTTGGATCCCATAACCTAAAAGAGCATCATGAAATACTTCTTCATGTGCAAAATCAGTTAATTGTGTTACGAATTGGCAGAGATATGTCAACATGTGTATTGACTCTCTCCCATCAAACCTCTGAATTTTGGTCCCTGTTCATAACTATATGAACAGAATATATGCCGTATCTGAACCGATTTTAGACATATTTGGCCAATTTTGCATATTTGTAAGTATCTCATGGTGATCTTTTATGTTATATGGTCAAAATTCCAAAATTTTAAAAATAGGTTTTTGGTGACGTTACACTTTAGAACTCTATAACGGTAATCAGGTAGCAAACTTGAAATCTTTCATCGGAGGTATCTCATTGAACATACTGAACTGATTTTTCATATCCAGAGCTATATAACATATTTTTCCAGTATTTTTCAAAATTAAGAGATTCCAAGAATAGGTTTTTGATGGTAAGATATTTGATACACAATTTGGTACTCTATAGTTAAATATTTGAAAATAAAATCCTTTCTATTTCTTGGGGCATTCCCCTCGTCTCTATAGTGATTAGAAATATGGCTTCAAAGTCAATAATCTGATGTCATACCACAATAATAATTTTCCGACCTGTCAATAGTTATAGTCAGGGCTGTTAGTCCCAGACTTTGAGAGAGTTTTCGTGCTGGTATCCGAGAGCAAAATCACAACTAGCAACTGTTATTTGTGATACCATCATGAAGATTAGTAGAAATGGTCAGTTTGATAAGCTCAAAAAGATAGGTTGCAGACCCCAGCTGAAAAATGCCGAAATTACTATTTTTAGACTATTGTACTAGGTCCCAAGCCCCAAAGCATCTTTTCTACTACAACTAGCAGCTGCTAGTTACTGTGAGAATCCGAGCCATTGTCTCGTCTGGCAGAATTCCTCTGAGAACAAGTCTCAGATCTCTGCGATCTTAGTCGTTTATTTATCAAAATTTAATACATGATTAAATGAAATATTTTGTCCGGGCCAAAAGCTGGGTGAAGCTTTCTTAAGTCTCTTTTACTTATGGAAAGTTCTTAACTGCATTCAGCCCATCAAATTCTTTGCCATCAAATTTTCTCTTCAAAAAGTTTTGATACTATAAACGAAAACCTCGTTACAGATGGCAAATAAACTCTTCTCTCACTGATGTACAAAATATCAGACACGTAAATACTGGGGGGTGTGTGTGGGGTGTGTGACACTCCCTCAATCTTTCATCCAGTTGGAAAATTTGAGGACAGTCGGAAAATTTAAAGCTGTTGGTAGAAAGCTAGGTTAATCGGAAAAAATTTGAATCATTTGTGAAAATTGAAGTTTTGACTCAAATGACCTTGTGAATATAGTTCAAAAGAAAATAATTGTTTGGTAGAAGGCAGTCCTAAAAAGAATGAGAGGCGACGCAATACAGAAAAAACGAAGTTTTGTATGAGAATGTAAGTATTTTCAACTACATTTATCGTAATGGGGAAAGTGTGACAATCATTCCATCAAATTGCTTCTAAAATCGGGATACGAAATAGAATTTTTTAAATAATATCTAACAGTAATGCTTAAAGAAGTGTCGAATTTGTTTAGTTGGTCACCCTATGTACAAGCGCCTACGTAAGGGTCTTCTTATTTTTCTGTATAAGGTATTATCTTTAAAGTTGTTGAAGAGAGTTTTCGCCTGAAATCATCACGAACAAACGCATTGTCAAAACGAAACGCTGTATTTCATTTATTCATTCACAAATCATCACAGTCTAAAATGTAACTGTTTGTTTTATTATCATCGTCTTCTGGCAATCTTTTAGTCATTATAGCTGGACTTAATATTTACAATTGTCGTAAATGTTGGAAACTAAGGACGCAGGACCTTCCGTGTATCCTTACAAGGATGCTCAGCCAACTACCCAACATTTTGGTGCCGTGACCCGAGAGCTGTAATGTCTGAAAAAGAAACATTAAAGAAGAAAATTCAGGCACGAAACGGTCATCGCCTGGTTGTTCGCAAAAATGTCGCGAAGGCCCGAGAGCTGTTGCCTCCGCGCGGTCAAAATCTTCCACCGGAACAACAATCGAAACTCGAATCAATCAAACAATAGACAGTAGACAATATTTGTAGCCTGGTTGCTAATCAAGCCATAGACGTAGCCAAATTGAAATATCCCCACATAAAAGATTTTTCTTTTGCTGATAAAGGTAGCGGCATGGATGAATTTGAAGTTGACATATTGATTGGGGCGGACTACATTTGGCAGTTCATGTTAGATCACGTAGTACGGGGGGAGCATGGTTATGGCCCCCCGGTAGAAATACCGTCAACAAATGAACACTCATCGAACATTATCATTTTACATGTCCTTAAAACTGACAGTATTATCGTTGATAGCGACAAACATTTGATAAACGAACTTCACAAATTCTTGGATATCGAATCAATGGGTATCAAATCTAAAGAGCAAGAACTAACTTGTAGCGAAAATCCATTAGAGGGAAGAATTCATTTTAATCAAAAACTCGGAAAGTATGAAATTTCGCTCCCATTCAAGGAAGATCATCCTGTAATTGCAGACAATTATCAAGTAGCACGTAAACGTCTTGAAAGACTGTTAAAACGTTTAAATTCAAAACCTGATGTTTTGCATCAATACAACGAAGTAATTTCTGAACAGCTAAATTCCGGTGTTGTAGAAAGGGTAAAGGATACGGAGTTATGTTTAGTTCCGGCTGGATCCGTGAACTACAATCCACACAGGGAGGTAGTTCAAGAAGAGCGGCAAACCACAAAACTTCGTGTCGTTTACGACGCCAGCTGTAAAGAAAACGGCGAAGTAAGTTTAAACGATTGCTTAGAACCAGGCCCAAATCTTGTACCTCTCATTTTTGATGTACTTTCGAGACTCAGAGCTAAACGAATAGCGTTAATTGGTGACTTAGAAAAAGCATTTCTGAATATCATTATACAAGAAAACGACAGGAATTTTCTCCGATTCTTGTGGTACGATAACGTTTTTGAAAAAAATCCTGAGCTTACAACATTGAGGTTTTCACGTTTAGTTTTTGGAAAACGACTCGGAATTTTGGCCTGTAAATGAAATCGCGCCCTCGCAGCAAATCGAAATTAATACAAACGTTGTCGTAACTGAAAATAACGATCAGCTAAATCTGAACAAAATCATTCCATGCGTAAATTACAGTAGCTACATTCGCTTAATACGGGTAACTGCGTTCGTATTGAAATTCGTGGCAATTTTAAAAAGAAAGGTTAAAAATTTACAAACAGACATAAGTGACGACTTTCTGTCCAAAGTCAACAAAGCGAAAATCATGTGGCACTTAGAAGTGCAAAAGGTCTTTGATCTATCTAGAAACGATAAAGAAATTAGAAATAACCCCGGATATTTTGTCAACAAAGAAGGAATAATCAGATTAGGGGGTAGACTTCAAAATGCATCGATTTCGCATAACAGTAAATACCCCGTATTATTGCCACGTCAGCATCATTTTACAAAATTGGTTATCTGGCATAGCCATTTAACAGTCAAACACAATGGAGTCAACGAAACACTCGCGCAAGTACGATCCAATTACTGGATTACGAAAGGTCGTCAGATTGTAAAATCCTTAATTGCGGAATGTTCCAAATGTAAAACTATACATGGAAAACCATACGAAACACCAACTGCGCCACCGTTACCTGCATATCGCGTATCCGAAGATGCAGCATTTACCAACGTTGCAGTCGATTTTGCAGGTCCTTTATATGTAAAGGATATCTACACCAAAACTGATCGTTTGAATAAATGCTACATTGCATTATTCAGTTGTGCAAATACGCGAGCAATACACCTTGAGTTAGTTCCCGATCTTTTCGCAGAAACATTCATTCGCGCGCTTAAACGTTTTATAGCTCGGAGAGGACTAAGCAAACTTATCGTTTCAGACAATGGAAAAGCATTTCTGGATAAAAACGTTCAAATGTATGCGCAAAATATGAACATTCGATGGAAGTTCAACGTTCCTACTGCCAGCTGGTGGGGCGGCTGGTGGGAAATATGCGTAAAATTAACGAAAAAATGTCTCAGAAAAACACTGGGAAACGCAAAGCTTTCGTACGAAGAACTGGAAACAGCATTAATCGAAACTGAAGGAATCATATATTCTAGACCATTAACTGGTGAAGAGATATCGGAACCACCATTAACGCCGTCGTGTCTTGTCATCGGAAGATGAATCCTCGATCAGTTGGAATCACTATCGTTATCCTTGGACAAAACTTCATTAACAAAACTCGCTCGTTATTTAGAATTAATCATTGAACATTTTCGCCAAAGGTTCAAAAAGGAATATATTCCATCGTTACATGAACGACATCGTTGTTTGAAAAAAAAACCCAAAACGCGTAATATAAGTCGGAGACATCGTACACATTTTCAGAGATAAGGTTCCCAAACATACATGGGCGATGGGAAAAGTCGTTAAACTTCTAACTGGAAGAGACGGACTAGTTAGAACTGCAGAAATCAAAACATTAGATAAATCGCGACGAGTCATTTATATCAAAAGACCGATACAACGTTTATACCCACTTAAGGTTAATGCTAACGAAGAAAACTCAACTGAAAATGAACACCTTAATGGTCAAAACGAACATGAACCATCGATTACTATGGTACGGGATGATGACATTCGAGAACACATAGCAAACATTATTTAAATAACAACTAACGTACATTTTTTGTAAATAGATTATTCCAAGATTGACTTCGTCAATCGGGGGGAATGTGTTGAATTTGTTTAGTTTGTCACCCTATGTACAAGCGCCTACGTAAGGGCCTTCTTATTTATCTTTAAAGTTGTTGAAAAGAGTTGTCACCTGAAATCATCACGAACGAGCGCATTATCACAACGAAACGCTGTTTTTCATTTATCTCGTTCATGAATCATCACAGTCTAAAATGTAACTGTTTGTTTTTTATATCATCGTCTTCTGGCAAGCTTTCAGTCATTATAGCTGGACTTAATATTTACAATTGTCGTAAATGTTGGAAACTAAGGACGCAGGACCTTCCGTGTATCCTTACAAGGATGCTCAGCCAACTACCCAACACTTTATTGTCCATTGCTTATTTCTTATCGCAATTTTCTTATAAATAATGAATGCAATACATAAGGCTGGGATTGGGCTTTCACTTCGAATCGAAAAAATGTTCCCGTTTCTTCCTTAGGCGTTTCCATTGGTATTTCATGCTGCACTTTTAAGAACATGCATTATTTACAAATCCACACTTTCTACAGTTACAGTTCCACAATTTTCATTTACAACTCCACAAAGTGAGTCAGATCCACGCTTATTTTAGGACCTGGCTGCAATAATGAACATACATAAAGGTCATGAGACTGTCAATTGATGAACTTGTTGACACCTTCATATCAAGAAATGCTGTGAGAAAGAGTACATTTTGGGTGCCTAAATAGAACTGATGATCTCAACCTAAAAAACTGATTATGATTTAAAAATAAACTTTCAATCATTTCATTTGTGTGTTTCTTCTTCCTCGATAATGAAAAATGCACGGAAAAATCACCTTTAAGCCCTTAGCTAATCCACTTTCTATCCTGTGACATCAGCAGCTGCCATTAGGAATTGTCACTAATTTTTTGAGCCCCCCCCTGAAAAAAATGCAATTCTACGCATATGCTCATTTAAGTTTATTAGGCAAGATTGGTTTTTGATTGCAATATTTTTGCTGACTGATCGTGAGTCTGCGTTGATTTGCTTGTAGACTTTGATTCCGAAAACTACAACTGGGATAGTTTTGAACGCAGAGAAACGGATAATGGAAAGTAAATCTGTGCAGGAACCACAGAAAGGTAAATGAATACGATATCGCGTCCTTTTAGAGGCAGAAGGAGCGTCTTTAGTTACCAGACTTCTCATGATCTCACGGATGGACGATGTTCGGGAATCACTCGGCCTTTTTAATGTTGTTTATTTTCCATATTTTTGTATAAAGTACCTTAATAGCTAATATTAGATGCAAAATCAATAGTGGATCAATCTAGAATTTTCATACAAAGATCGACCAAGGTACGCAGCGAAAACTTTTGAGGTATGAACTGCCAAGCCAGTTGGCCTACGATTGTTCTCACTGGTCGTCTCGTGACTGTTCGTTTTAATCTTCCTTTATATTATTTGATTCTTTAAGGGAAACGTTATAGCAAAGGGGTTTTTTCAATCTGCTGACTCTCTTGATGCCATTATTACGTTGGTATTATTTCCACTTCATTTACAGGATGGTTCGGGGGATCTGTGCTTGTATCATTTTTTTTCGGGCCTAAGCGACTTTGGGAGGTTTGCTAAATGCCAACAAAATCGCATGATTGGCTTGGGTTCAGTATTTTCAAAATGTAAACCTTGAGCCAAAAATGCAAAATTTGTTAGAAAATCGTCAGTATTGCATTTTGAACGGCTGGATTGTTTTTAACCGTAGAATGTAGTTATAAATATGCGTTTAGGGGCCGCTTTCGCAAATACGCAATTTTGTTCAGTTAGACCCTACACATACGAGTAACAGCTAACTAAACAATTTAAAGGTGATAACAAATGTTAACCACGTTTTTAATAAATGCAAGGAATTAGATTTCGTTTTTTGGTTGTAAAAACTTCGTTCAAAGGATAAAAGTTCTCAATATGTAGGCCAATTTAGATTAAAGTTTGCATAGCAGTTTTAAGCCAAACGTAGTTTAGTAATAATCTGAACAATTTTATAATGGCTTGTTGCAATTAGCATCAAAATATGTTTTATCAGAAAAGTACATTAATCTAGTTTCTCCAATGTTTGGTTGTGATGATTCAAGTTTGATCCCCTTTAATGGGCAGTAGCATGGCAAATTAAACAAATATATGCCATGAGATTTCATGCTTCCAAGGATATTATATTCTGGCTTTGAGACAAAATTTTTGAATGTTAGTACCTGGGGTATCAAAATGAGAATATACTTGTCTTTCAATATTCCAGTTTTAAGAATTGAATATGTTTTAGAGCTCTCAACCCAACTCTATAAATACAATAAATTTTGTAAAGATCATAAGAAGACAAGAAAATTTTAAACAAAATTTAAATGCAGGGTATTGGGTTTCCATACATTGAAATTTCCATACCTTTTCTCTTTTCTTAAGGTCTTAAGGTCAATCAATAAATTTTTCTGAAAAGATGCATTTTGCAAACATGAATTAAATTCTATCTTTGTTGTTATGTTACATCCTGATTATATTCTTCAAAATAAGCAAATATGCTAGCTGTTTAACATTTTAAAGTATAAATTTCTTTAATGGATTTTAGGAAAATTGAAAGAAAATAAATTTTGTTATCTTATGGTTCATTAATTTACTAAAAGGATATTTTTGTTTACAGAGGCACAGGAAAGCAGAAAAGAAATGGAGAATCCAGTATTTGATGATTATAGAACTGTTGAAATATCTGTACATGGTATGACCTGTCAATCATGTGTCAAGAACATCACATCAAACATGCAAGAAAGGATGGGATTACCAAAATTACAGTTTCATTAGAGAAAGAACTTGCTGTTGTATCATATGATCCAATGAAATTGTCAGAGGATCAAATTATTGAACAGATAAATGACATGGGTTTTGAAGCAGGACTTCAAAATAAAACAGTCGGTGATGTTGAGGGTGACATTAAAGTATTATTGTTAAATTTGAAGGGTATTGATAGTGACATCAGAGCCTCAGAGGTCAGTAACGAACTGACCAAAGAAAATGGGATTATCAGCTGTGATATTTACGAAAATAACAACCTTGCTGCTGTATCTTACCGTCCTTCTGTGATCAAACCAAATGCTATTCAAAGTCATCTTAAGAAAAAAGCAATAATCGGAACAGTTTTAAGCAAACAGAGCACAGAAGAAGCAAAGGATTCAATGGAGACAATAACCTTACATATAGAGGGTATGACATGTGACTCTTGTACAAATTCTATAAAAACAGCTTTGAGCAAGCTTAGTGGTATAGAGGAAGTGAAAATTTCTTTGAAGGAGAAGAAAGCTGTTGTGAAGCATTATCCTTTGAAGATAAAATGTGAAGAAGTCAGAGATGCAATTGATGATATTGGGTTTGATGCAACACTCCTTGAAGAAGGTATGTTTGAAAAGTATAGATAATCATTGGTAGAAAAGATGCAGTGAAAATTTTAATTGATCCTAGAGATTTCTTTTTTCCTGCTTTTTATCATAATGCTTTCATAAGGCTTTGCTGTCTGCTTTGGATGATATTTGGAATGCAAATTGCTTTATTGTTTAATTCTGCCTATATATTTGATGAAAAATTCGGAACAGGAATTTTTGTTCCGAATCCTAAAAATTAAGAAATTTCAAGATACATGGAATTCTATGAAAAATGCTTTTGTTTACAAAAAGAAAAGCAAATGTTGTGTAAACAACACCTGAATGAATCTTAAAGTCTTTGTTTTTTTCCAGAAGTTGAGTGGGATTGCTATCCAGACCTCTCCCTGAGCATTTTAGCAGGCTCAGACGCGTGCCTCGCCTTGCTAAGGCGCGCGTTTTATCAAAAAAATATATTTACATTAAAGTAGGCAAAAACGGTATGTTTTCGCATGTAAATACTTTGTATCTAGAAATATCTAAACAAACTACTTAATAGAGCACTAAAAGCCAAAAAAAAACATTATTGTTGCAGTTCGTCAATGTCCAGCTGAAATTCCGATGAAGAATCGGAGTCAGAAGAAGTGGAAGAATCAAAATTCGTTCCATTGACATAATATTCAATTGCTTTCCTGGCACTTCCTTTACAAAGAGGATTTCATAAAATACTGCTTTTGTGTTTTGAGCAAACTTTACACCAAATAGAAACCATCATTGTCCCATTCCATTTTTCGGTCTTTGATCCGATAACTTCGTCCTTGCGATACTTGCGAAAAGTAGATAGCTCTATGGCTTGACCCTTTGAATTACTGGCCATTTAAAACTTCTGTCGTGAAAAAGGAGCGAAAAGAAGCACAAGTCTGTCTCCATGCACATATATGAAAGAATGAATGAGTAAAGTTGCAGACTGTGTTGAAATCCAATTATACCAATCAGGAATCACAAGGACAGTTTATTGGTTATTGACCAGAAATATATTCAAGAGGTGTTTGCTTTAACTTGGCAATAACAATTTCCTCGAAAGAGGCTCTTTGTATAATAACAATTCATAACCAAAACACAAGGAGCGCGATTCAAAGGGTTCTATAAACCAGGTGTGTGGTTTGTTTGAGCGTCTCGGCAACAACAGGAGCGTGCCAAGGCCCATGCGCGATCATGCCACCTTAAACAGAGAGGCCTGGCTATCCTAATAAGATGAAAGTTTGCATGTTTAGCATGTGGGTTTGAAGGTTTCTTACAATTCTTATAGTTTATTGAAGTGCTTCACTCTTGCCGGATTTCACCATTGTCATGATCCAGCGTCTTAAGGAGTGCAAACCAGTGTCTTAGGAGCAAGCCATTAAACCATCTTATAAAGTGTTTAAGTGTACATTGCTTTTTTGAACATATTTTTAGATTAAATGTTCAATTTTACAAGATCAGTTTCTCTAAAGCTTTCAATATACTTTTTTCTGTGAACAGCTTTGAGTCGTAAGTCATCAATGAGATCAACTTCAAGTATCAGTTCTCCTGACAAAGTTGTGAAATTGGAAAGAAAACCTTCACAAATATCAATTGGTAACAAAGTAAATATCCAGAGACAGAGTAGCAATCATTCATTTGATGAAATGAATGTGTGCAAAGCTTTTCTGAAAGTCAGTGGCATGACATGTGCATCTTGTGTAGCCACAATTGAAAGGAGTCTGAAAAAGAGACCTGGTAATTTGCAAATGTTTTTAAATGTATTTCATGAAGAAAAGTTTTTGTAAAAATGATTATGTTATCAGAAACAAATAATGTTTCAAGTAGAATTCATTGTGTTATCAGCAGTTAGTGATTTCATACAGACAGCCCATTTCTTATTGGACAGGGGTATCAATACAAAACATGATGGTAAATATGAATGGGTTCTTGAATTGAAGAGGGAGGGGGAGGGCTTATTCGAGAATGGAAGCTTATTCAAATTAATACAAAACATGATGGTAAATATGAATGGGTTCTTTAAGAGGGAGGGGAGGGCTTATTCGAGAAAGGAAGCTTTTTCAAATTAATGCAAAACTTTATGCTAAATATGAATGGGTTCTTCAAGAGGGAGGGGGGGGCTTATTGGAGCATGGAGGCTTATTCAAATTGATACAAAACTTGATGCTAAATATGAATGGGTTCTTCAAGAGGGAGGGGGGGGGGGTTAATTCGAGAAAGGAGGCTTATTCAAATTGTTACATTATATGGACACACTGCCTTTAATAGAATGGCAAGTGATTACGTCATAAGAAACCTTTTTTAAATTTTTGGGATTTTAACCCAGTAACTATTAAGAGCATCATGAGAAACCTTCTTACTGTGGATGCACCATTAGGCCTGTTATAGATTGTCTGAGATATGGCCACATGGGCACAGGCTCATTATCCTAACCCTAGCTTTGAAACTTATCAAATTAATCAGACCAAACAACAATTATTTATAAGCAAAAGTAAGGTGGTCCCCTGACCTTTTTTCAGGAAACTTGTTGTACCAGGCTTATTTTGCCGTATCCTTTCTGTTCATATGGGTGAATTTCCAAAATTCTTAATATACATTTTTATGACGTCATTATTTGTCACTTTATAGACATACTGTGTGTTTCCATGAGATCAATAAAAGCATCTTGAAATCAAATTAATCTTTCATTTGTTCTGTTTCTCTTCTAGGTATAAAATCAGCAGTAGTTGCATTGCTTGCTCAGAAAGCTGAAGTTAACTACGATAAAACAATGACAAACATAGTTGATATTGTGAAGCACATTACAGATTTAGGCTTCCAAACATCAGTTCTAGAGGACAATGCAGAGGGGTACAGTGTTATAGAGTTAGCAGTGAGTAAATCTGTTTTTTTTTGTTCTTATTGATGATAAAAATTTTTAAAAGAATATTTCCAAACTAAGGAACAGTGCCCATCAAGGTCCATGTAAAAGCCAAAAATGTTATAGTTGGCTTAATTAAATGCGAAAATGATTGGAAAAATGGAGAATTGAGCATACTGAATATGAATTTTTTTTTGCAAAAAGTAACGTTTTTGATTTGTTTATTGCGGTGAATATGGAAATTTTGAGTTTTAAGTGAAGTTTATTTTTGTAGATTATTTGTGCATTTGCGAATGGTAATATCTTGTAGAAATGTTGATACTGAAGATGACCGCTGGCCCCTTACTGTAGCAATAAAATTTCTAATTCTTTAACATCCTTTTGATGTTTCGCGAAAGGCCAAAATTTCACTGGACCACATCATGAACCTCAAAACGAATAATTGCCAGTTTCTACAGTAACGTCTTCATTAATGTATTTTCTTTGAAATACAATGTTCCTTGAATTGATATATATATTTTATTTGTGTTGGTTTCTAATTCAAAGCATTTAAAGATATTGTTAAACACACAGAAAAGCTATGCTTATCGAGCAGTGTCCTGGTCCTTCCTCTCGATGTGACCATACCTAAAATTACAGAAAGTTTGCGACTCCCTTCACTCTAGGTGAAAGTTTGGTCATGTCAAGAACTAGAACCCCAAACCCCTGGATCCGTAGTCCACAATTCTAACCACTGAACCATCCTCGCACCTTAATAACATTTATTATCTTTTAGATTGCGAATATGACCTGTGCAAGTTGTGTGGCCCTCATCGAATCAAGTCTGTTAAAAGTACGTGGCGTCGTTGAGGCTTCAGTAGCCTTAGCAACAAACAGAGGAAAATTCACTTATGATTCTGATAAGATTGGACCTCGCGATCTGATTGAGAGAATTGAAGATCTTGGCTTCTGTGCGTCAATAGCAAGTCATGACCACAGCAAGGAGAGTGCGTTGAATGATTCTCGAGTTATCAATCAGTGAGTTATTTTTTTTGGGTCGCTGTTAGAAAATCGAAGCAAAATGTTTCTTTTAGTTATTTTAAAGTATATAATCCTATGTGTGAATGAAGAAAAGGCCACTGTAGCAGGCTGCTCGACGGGCTCCAAGGAGTATTTGCAGCGAAAAGTCGATAAAAATGTAGCAAATATGAAACACCGCAATACGCCGAGAATAAACAACAATAAAAACACGTAAATCAGTAAAGGCTATTTATAATCCTAGTCAGTAATCGGTAAAGTCAGGGACCTTTGATTATACTAATTAAGAGGCAATTGCCCCCCAGGCCCGCTGACTTTTAATTGTTTAAATCAATAGCTTGTTCCCTTCCTTAATGTAGCTTATTGTAAGCTCAAAGGCTTGTCCTGTAGGAATAGAGTATGTTGTTTTCTAGGAATAAAATGTGTTGTCTTAATCAAACAATTTTCGTTTTGTCTCTTTCCAAATGCTTTATGGCTTTAGTTAAGTTTAAAAATGTCGATCATTGAGCGCATGTTCTTAGTTAATCCTTTTTCAACGATGATAATTTATCTAACAAGTTTTTTCTATTTTTCTAATTCATGCATGTAATAATCCGTTTCTTTTAACTTCTGTTCCTAGGTGGCGACAATCATTTCTAATTTCCCTGATATTTGGCTTACCCGTGCTTGGAATCATTATTGCCTACACGATTGTTGGAGAACAGAAAGGACCGTACATCGTTAGAGGGCTATCGCTTGAAAACTTTCTCCTCTTCATTCTTTGCACTCCTGTTCAGGTAGGGAAGACTATAATCAATTCATAATTATATTTTATTCTTTATTTATATGTTTATGCTGTTTGTTGAGTGAATTTTAAGGAAACTTTCAAAAAGTTCAAATTTAGTCCCTTATAATGAATATCCAAAACTGCAAATTTTCATATACAGTAAACAGTTTTTCTAAACATATCGTTTTCCTTCATTGTGAAAGACTCTAAAATGTTTTCCTCAATATCTTTGTCTCTGATTTTTGCTACTTGTTTGTGTATGGGACTAATGAAAACATTTTAAGTTAATTGTATTTTTATGTACATTTTATTGTCAACTCCCCTCAATTTTTGGGTGTGACACTGCTTCTCAATTTGATCCTTGCGTTGTAGATTTTTGGTGGAAGATATTTCTACGTAATGGCGTATAAGGCATTGAAGCACGGTGCAACAAACATGGATGTACTTATTGTCATGGCAACAACAGTGGCCTATATATACTCCGTATGTAATTTGTGACATATTCTTTGTTAACATGACAAAACATCTTAAATTTAATCATCGCGGTTTCAAAAAATGCTGAACCGGCGTGTTGTGACATATGCCCGGGTTCAAGCTGACTAGCTTGAACAAGATCGTCAAACGACTTATATCCAAAATTGAAGCGTATGTTTCTGACTAACAGAGAGCTCAGCATTGAAATAGGTGCCAGGTCTCAACCCCCTCTGTACAGCTCTGTGGGCACTTTTTCAATGATATTGAAATAGCATTTTAACCCCGTTACTACGTTTATGATATGGTATTATATGGACCTCAGGTTTTCACTTGGCTTTTGTTAACAGTTTTATTGTTTATAGTTTTAACGTCAACAGAGACATTGGAGATCAGTTGAAAATCAATAGTTGAAAATCTTAGTCCCGTTGACTTTGTAGCATTGGGTCAAGGCACCAAGCCCTTTCTTAAAGTACTTTCTACCGCCACAGCACCTATAAATCTTAACTAATACTTGTGCGTATTTATAGATGAATTAATATTTGTTTTGAGTAAATTTTCTGTTATTGTTCCATTTGCTTGCTGCAGTTTGTGGTTCTGTTGATGGCTGTTATTCAAGGACCTCCAATCAGTCCGATGACATTCTTTGAAACTCCCCCCATGTTATTGGTGTTTATCGCACTTGGGAGATGGCTCGAGCATTTGGCCAAGAGTAAAACATCAGAAGCCTTGTCAAAGTTGTTGTCACTTCAGCCACCCGAGGCCCTTCTCGTGAAAATTGATCCTTCCGATAGCACAATCGTGAGGTATTTCATTCCTGAATTTTACTTAATTCTAGAGTAAATATGCTATTACTGTATTTTGGAACACCACGTTGTAGTTTCACAGGGGAATATGATTTGAAGAATGGAAGTTTGTACTAATGTCAGCAAAATTCTGTAAACTATGCGATAATAAACAGGCTACTGGAAATTGTTATCTTTCTTTCGATCTTTTGAGTAAGCCGTAGTTTGAAGTTCTAGAACCAAAAGTAAGATGTTTTGTTTTTTTTAACAGATAGCAGTTTTGTAATTAACTGAAATTCTTAATACTGAATAAAGTATTGAAAGTTGTATCAGCTAGATCTCATTGAGCTAGCCCCAATCTTCTGAAATCCAGAAATTCTAAAAGCTAAATTATTGGCACGTTTTTTTGAATTTATATGCTCTTGTGGCTATCACTTCTTCCAGTCTTTCTGAAGACATTTTTGAATAATTTGTATTCGTTTGCAGTGAAACGCCGATCGATGTTAATCTTGTACAAAGAGGAGATGTGCTAAAGGTATACATTATCTTTCATTCTACACCCCCAAACTCCCTTATGTTGCATCATCTATGCTATTATCACATGTTATAGAGCCAACTGCTACTCTCTCATCTTAGCTGTTATGTCATTCACTTTGCTGTTGACGTATTTATTCGTGAGTTTTTGTACGTCAAGCCTATTCGTCCCAGTTCTCCATTTCACTACATATGCGCAAAACTCAAGACTCTATTAGATAAAGATTATACGCTTTGATATGTAGATTAGAGCTACTCTTTGTTGTTACTGGAGATAGTGTGACATTCATTAAAGATAGTTCCATTACTAACAGGTTGTTCCTGGTGCCAAAATACCTGTCGACGGGGTTGTTTTGGAGGGCAATTCGATGGCAGATGAATCGTTGATAACCGGAGAATCGATGCCAGTCACCAAGAAGGTACTAATTCTCTAAATCTCTCATTGTTTACTAGTTTGACAGTGATCTTCATTTGACTCTGTATTCTGAGGTAAATTGCTTAATTTACTGGGCCTGCTTGCTATGAACATGTCTGACATGCCTTGTATTCATAAAAATTAAATTCAGAGTCAGGAAAACATTACTGACCGGAGGAAGGTCTACGACAACAATAGAAGTTCCTATGACACACCCAAGCCACGCCCACTTTCTATTGTTTTGCGAGGAAGGTTTGCCTTCTGGGATGTTTTTGTCTGGAGGAAGGTTAACAACTTTTCTGGACTTTAATTAAATTATATGCCTTTTTACATATTTGCATGCTTTTTAGTATGAATTTTCACTGTCTTAGGTTGGTGACCCATTAATTGGTGGAAGTATCAATCAGACAGGGACACTACTGATGGAGGCCACCCATGTTGGCTCTGAGACAACGTTGGCACAAATCGTCAAGCTGGTTGAAGAGGCTCAAACATCCAAGGTACCATTGAATGTGATATTAATATTCTTTTAATAAGACATTGCCAGGACACCATGGAATTAGCAACACATCTTTGTCGGATGCACCGCTTCTAAGATCACCTTCTTAGCCATCGTGCAAGCCTGGCAATAATCGCTTGCTACGTCTGACACATTTTTTGAGAACGGTATTTCATTCAAAATTGCCAAAGGCTCCATTCACATAAACGACTCTTTTTCTTCACACTGAATTCGCTGAATTTCATATTATCAGTCAAGTGTCGGGCTATATCTTATTGTTCCAGTGTTATGTGTATTTATTTCGGAAAGCAAAATGCATTTCTATTGGCACTTGATTTCGGCATCGTTGTCTCGCAAATTACCTTGCATTTTTTTGTAGATTTTTTTTACCTCTACATCTCTTGGCAAAAATGTCCATTCTGATGTTAAAAGACTTTGGTACTCTCGAAACGTACTGCACAAGTTATCAAACACGAGCGCGATAACAGCCCTCCAAACATATTGCACACGTTATCAAACACGAGTGCGATAACAGCCCTCCAAACATATTGCACACGTTATCAAATACCAATGAACTATAGATTAAAAGATTTTCTATGATATATGATACGCGAGAGAACCTTTGCATGATATGAATCGCTCTATATTTCATCTGCGAAACGAGGACAGTGTAATGTGGGAATATATCTGAGTGTCTTTTTTCTGAAACTGTTGTTCTGAAGCGGTGTTTCATAAGTCATTGAAATTTCTCATGGTGTTGAATCATCGCTATTTAAGAATTATTTAGATTTCAGTTGTCAATGCGAGTTTGAAAAAGGTAGGCTTTGTTCCAGAAGCCGAAAATAGTTCAAACCTGTTCTAGAGAAAAATTTCAAAATTTAGACAACTTAGCCCATTGGAACCGAGGTGCAAAATTTACCGAAACCTGAGAACTAGGTTCAAAGAAAAGTTCCAGAATTGACAGAAAAAGTTTACCCAAATAAAGATTTTAAAATCTAAAAATTGAGCTCAGTGTAAGAAAATGTAATCATTACTTTTCAGTATCTTTCACAATGAACGCTTCGAATCGTGAAGTTACAGTTCGTAAGGTCCTAATCAATTCCCATCATTAGGTTTCACTTACTGGGCCTACCAAAAAGTTGAGTGTCTCAATAATCGAACCAATGCTTCTGACCACGACCGTTTCAGACTATGCGTTTTCATTCATTAAATGAGATTGATTGCTATTTTAAGCTTCTTTTATACAGTTTTAATATATATCACTGTTTTACGATCTGTGATAAAGTGATAAATGCCCTATAGGTAGAGTTGTGCACGCTTTGGTGTAAAGAACGATTAAGTTGCGGCTCTAAGTTTCACGCTTATTGCGATAATCATTTAACAGCGGCCATTCGAAATGTAACCCAGAATATACTAATAGCACAATTTGCAGGGAATATGATACTGCAGAGATCATTACGCTAGAAGGAATAAGACCAAAAGCACGCCGAAAATCCAAGTAACTTTTAAAACGAATATGTAATTTAAGATATCAAATTTCGAACCTAGTCGTTGCATTACAGATAGCAGAATTCCAGATAACTCTAACCATATCAAATATATTTTGTATTTTTTATTGTTTGCTGCCTAACTCTGAAAGTAGTTTTGGGACACTGAAAAGCTTTTGCTTATCGAGCAGTGTCCTGGTTCTTCCTCCCAATGTGACTACACCTCGTGATTACTTCGCCTGGAATTTCAGAAAGTTGGCAAGACTCCTCGCGCTCTAACCAGTATGGATTAATCCATATCACATACAGCTTAATTTAGGAACACATCCCCCTATCCACATTATTATTAACAACAATAATGTGGATGGGGGGATGTGTTCCTTCTAAGACACCCGGTTAAGTTGTTGCTTATCTTTTTTGTCATTTAGATTAATGTTACTATTAATGTAAGTGCTGTCGTAGTTGGAGCTCGATGACATCATGTCTTTTCCAGCTACGGCAGACACAGAATATTTATATGTAGTTAACTTTGAATTGTTTTTATTTGTGATATAAAAAACCTTAATTTAATATTTGGCAATTATTGCCAAAACTTCATCCTCAATCTACAATCTATAAAATTTACAATATCGAGCAGTGTCCTGGTCCTTCCTTCCAATGTGACTACACCTCCTGAACTGCATCCCCAATCTATAAAATTTACAATTCTTGATTTGAATTTCTGTTTTCGCCCCCTACAGGCACCGATCCAACAGCTGGCTGACAAAATATCAGCCTACTTTGTTCCATTCGTCATATCTATATCAGTCCTGACACTGATCGTATGGATAACCATTGGTTTTGTTGCGTATGATTCGATAAATCATGATTATGATGTGAGTCTCCTGTTGTATATAGATTTTTTTTTGCAGACGTAATTGAATGTTTCTCGATGTTTCTATGTTGCCCAGGCTTTTCAATGCGAGACTTGCTACCTGAGTTTTTGCATTTGCGCGCCCTATTTTCGGAACCAACAATAAAGTTCCCACTGTACCCCCAGGGTACCCCTGTACCCCTGACTGCCACTGAATGCCACTTGATATTGTTTCTACCGCTGATCATGTTTATGAAATTGAGTTTATTGAATAGTGCGACATGCGCAGAGAATTTTCCACATCAACTGGCTTGAGTTGCCTCTTCTTCTGCCCCCAACATCGATTCCGTCTTCACAATTTCCACAACTGCCTGAACTTATCTTTAACGTTACGTAAATGTAGCCCTACATATTGTAGATAAACTTTATATCTATTTCAAATGATACAATAGCAAAACTCAATAACATTTGTTTACCTTGAAGAGTACAAGTTAGTACTAGCTCAAAGAGTCCTTAAATCTAGTGTACCCTTTTGTGATAATCTAGTGATAATTTCACAGTCCTATAAAGCTTTGTCAGTGGTAATTAATTTGTCATATACGATTGAAGATTTTGACCCATACTGATATTTGCCTATATGTGGGTCTGACAGGTGCATCTCTATTTATTTTAGAAAACATTATACACAGAAGCGGAGATTACCTTCCAATTCGCCTTTCGATGTGCTATCTCTGTGCTTGCCATAGCATGCCCTTGTGCCCTGGGCCTGGCCACGCCCACTGCTGTCATGGTTGGTACTGGAGTTGGTGCCCAGAATGGGATTCTCATCAAGGGTGGAGAGCCACTGGAGACTGCGCACAAGGTATTATGTCCACGATGCATTGTAAATGACCTGGTTAATATTTAGTGTCGACCTAATGTTTATTTTTGCAACCTGGCCCACTATAAGTTGGATGGTGCTTGAATCACGATAAGAATAATTATAAGAACCACAATTAACAATAAATAAGTAATTAAAATAAGAGGCATAAAGTCTAATTAAAGTCTAATTTGATATTTCTTGCTTTGAAATTTTTTTTGGAAAATTATTCTTTAAAGGCTCTTGCGCAACTAGCATGCTTAGCCGCAGCTTTCGTGTTTTGTATTTTCATGCTGTACGATATTTGGCCGGTTTTGAAAATATAGTTGCAAAGCATATCGGTTTTGCAAGAGCTTTTAAACATTTGAATCAAAGCTATTTGAGTCATATAGTTTTAAACACACACGGGTTGTAAATTAATGGGATAATTGCAAATATAGAAAAGGGTAGGTTCCACAAAAGTCTTCCACCGCGTAAAGCTGGAAGAAGGGTTCAAGAAAAATCTTCAAATATTTTTAGATATTTTTTCTTTATTGAATGAACAAGGTCTAAATATATTTGGAAATCGTCAATCATGTACACGTGGCTCGATATTTTTGTTTACGCTCTACTTGAAGTCGGCTTCAATCACCGAATCTAGCTTTTGTAGTCAACTCTAGTTTTTTTATTGTGTAATTATTTCAAGGTGCCTTGAATGCGAGAATCGACTTCTTTAATCAACAACGCTAGAAGAAGCAAGAGTAACTCTTCTGATATAGTACGCTAACTCCTTTAAATTGGCTCATAAAGAGAACCACAATTAGTCTGATTTTGCTATACCAATGTTGTCTTATGCAAATATTGTCTTACTTTATATCCTTCTGGACTTAAAAAACTGTTTACGTATCTTCAATAACCCCCCCCCCCTCCTTTTCCTTTGTTTTTTCTTTTCTTTATATTAGTGTGCATATATATACATATACATAGATTCTGTATTTGCGTATATATATATATATATTTATTTTTATTAGCTATTTCCATATATTTCTTTTCCATGCTCTTATATCCGTCTTCCTATTCCATTCGTCGAATTCCATATTCCTTTAACGTTTTTTAGTTCTATCATCGCTTTTCTATCTTACTTGATAACAGGCTATGCTCCAAACGTCGTTAATTATTTGAAAAAAAATTTCCTGGTACAATTTACTTACATTGATCGTTATTTAAATTCGTTATATTGTACCGCACGTATTTTAGTATAATTATTGTCTTATGCAAGCGACATAAGCCACTTTTATACGAACAGATCCACTTTGTATGACTCGAAAGCACCGTCTCTGTACAAAGTTGTGTGCTATCAAATGCTAAATTGCCTGTTGGAAACCCAACTCAGCAAATTTTATAGCCTTGAAAAAGATCTTCTTGCTTTTATTTTGCTGTAATTTCACAAAACTCTAATTGCAGATCCGATCCGTCGTTTTTGACAAGACTGGTACGATCACTCATGGAAAGCCAGTTGTGACCCAGACAAAGCTTTTTGTGCCATCAAATGTTTGCTCACTGCGTCCATTTCTTGCTATTGTGGGAACTGCAGAGTCGAGCAGCGAACATCCAATCGGAGTCGCAATCGCACAGAACTCTAAAGAGATACTCGAAACTACTAGCCTCGGACACTGTCTTGATTTCGAGGCTGTTCCAGGCCATGGTTTGCAGTGCATTGTCTCGAGTCTAAAAAACATCATTAAAGGGGATTCAATTGATTTGAAGCCTTTAGACGGCAATGATAATGACACATACCAGGTGGGTTTTGCAATCGATGATGTTATTTTAGTCCTTATATAAAGAAATTCAGTTAGGCCAAACGCACGAACTCAATCTCATAACTCTTCCTTCCTCCCTAGATCTTGTAAACTTTGAAGTGCTCTATCCCCTTCCTGTTTCTCAGATGCTTACAACATAGCTTTATTCATAACATGAATAAACAACCTGAATATTTCATCTCTCTCTACCCAATCCTGCCTCCCTTGTCCTTGTTAGGGCCTAGCTATCGGCTCTTAAGCCTTTCCCTAGCATTACCAACTAAAAAAATAAAGACCACTGTGAAAATCCATTTCGTCTCAAATATTTTCGGAAAGGCCCTAGTTTGAAAGAAACTTAAAAAGCTAAAGGGTAATATAATGTTTTTTATTTGTGGATCCAAAATTTTCTTAACAAGGCATTTATAAGTACACTTTTTAGATGACAGGATAATCTTTGGGTAACAGAATTTTGCAAAACATTCAGTATATAATTTCAAGTTGAAGACACAAATGAATGTGTTCAAGTGCATTTTAAATTGTAAATCATGCTATACGGTACCAATTTTTAAAGAAAACTGTAGCCTGAAAATGAAAAGACCTCATGAATACATCATGAAGCTGGCAGTACTGTTTAGAAATACCACATAAAGCTAGCACTATTTCAAGCTTTTAGAGAGGCACGCAATGTGTTTGTCTCTCATTTCCATTAGAATACAAGCAGTTATTTCTTTTATTAAAATTATATTTATTCAACAGTCCGATGAATCGTATTTCAAATTCGGTTGTCTGGTTGTTCTTGTTTACCTAATTCGACCTAAAAGTTTTTGTCCCTTTGTTTTTTTCCTAGTCAAACCTCAAACTTCAAGTTGTATCGATTTTTCTCATCCTAGATTAACCTAGGTATCATTTTTCAGATATAGACTGTACTCAGATACCGGCTCATTTCCTTTCCTGACGATTTTAACTGCATCCATTCCCCTATTCTTATTGTACATGTATATATATATATATATAATTAGTATTTTTTGTCTGGCCAAGAACGTTACCAATTTGTCTATTTTCTAAACTGGAAAGAAAGAAGGAAAAATCGCTTCCTGTTTTTTATCAGCTTTTGGTAGGATATCGTAATTTTTGCCATGCTGTTGGGATTTTTTGTGACTTGCTTTTTCTGGGTATGAAGGTTTTTGAAAGAGAGTTTTGTTCTGATAATAGAAAGTGAAAATTGAAGATATATCTTTAAACTGTGTTCTACTAAAGATCATTTTAAAGAATCTAGAATCTCTGTATCAACTCTGAAACTTTGATTTACTAAAGATCTTTTTACTGATTCTAGAACCTCTGCATTGCCTGTCGCTGCTTTTGGCGACTTATCTTTTCAAATACCTTATTCTGTATGACTCTTATTTAAGGTACTAATCGGAAATCGCGAATGGATGTTGCAAAATGGCCTACGTATTGCTACGGACGTAGACGAGGTCATGATCCAACACGAGGAGAAGGGACATACCGCAGTTCTTGCTGCAATCAATGGTGTGTTGGTCGGTATGTTAGCCGTGGCCGATACTATTAAGGAAGAGGCCCCATTAGCGATCAGGACCTTGCAAGACATGGGCCTTAAAGTCATATTGTTAACTGGCGATAACAGAAAAACCGCCAACGCTATTGCGTCACAAGTAAGTAATATACAACACCAGTATCGCCATTTTCCTAACCATAAATTCGAGATTCTCGCATACACTTACTTTCTTTGTTTCAAAGTAGCACTGTTAATCTTAATCAAACTTCTGCAATTCTTTTTGGAAAATAAAAGTTTTCACTTTGATCTTAATCGTTTCAAACCTACCGTTGGATTGAAAGATTGTTGACTTACCATAGAGCACCTTCTGCTCTTAGCTGTTTAGTTTGGATGGCATTTTGAAGCAACTTCTACATCAAAGCGTTTTCTCTCTCTCATTATAAAGAGCAGTAGACGTAATTGTCAAAGTCAAAAAACCATTTGTTTTATCGGTAATGGGAACCGTTCAGGGTTTCAGGCTATACTGTGTATATAGTTTTGAGTTGTGTTTTATATATATGAATTTATGTTATGTTTCTTAATGCAGGTCGGCATAACAGAAGTGATAGCTGAAGTTTTACCATCACATAAAGTTGCTGCTGTCAAAGCATTGCAGTCGAGAAGACATAAGGTTGCCATGGTAGGTGACGGCGTGAATGATTCCCCTGCGCTTGCCCAGGCCGATGTTGGCATTGCTATTGGCACTGGAACTGATGTAGCTGTGGAGGCGGCTGGCATTGTCTTGATCAAAGTGAGTAGAACTGTTGGACTGAATATTATCAGCACTTTCTTTTGAGGCCTAGTATTTGCTTGCTGTCTTGTTTTTGGCTTCTTTGTTACTTGAGCAGCAAAATTATGCTCAACATATTCAAGAATCACTCTTCTCAACAGATTTCAAATATGCTATTAGTACTTTTTTCGAGTGTCTTTGAAAATACTTTCAAATGATACCATTAAATGAAATTCTTTAATGTTATTTTGATATTTATTTATTTTGATGGTTCTATACAACCAATCTGTTTTTTCGTGAAAATGTCTGTATCAATTCCATAAGATCAATTCGAGCCACGGTTGTACCTTGCTTACATCGAGGTTTGTATTTCCTTGTAGAATGATTTGATGGACGTCGTCGCTGCGATGGAGCTCTCTCGCAAAACCGTGCGAAGAATTCGCATCAACTTTGTTTTTGCTTTCCTGTACAATATGATCGGTGTTCCGATTGCTGCTGGTGTACTGAAACCGATAGGTTTTTCTTTAAGACCTTGGATGGCCAGTGCTGCCATGGCAATGTCATCAGTTTCTGTCGTCTTGTCATCTCTTTTACTTAAAAAGTAAGTGCATTTTCGTTTATATTTAAATCTTTAAGATTGCTTAAACCAGAAGTTAATAAATTGCCAGCTAATAATTTTACGGGTATTTGCAGATTCTGTCACAAGTTATTAAGATCACTTTATAAATAATTCGAATTCCTGCTTCATAAAACAGAACTTCTTTGAATCAGAACTTCTTCAGACAGAACTAAATTTCAATGACTATTGGACTGATTTCGTTATAATATCACAAACATACTTTAAGATAAATTTAAAACACCCAGTCTGTGATCTGCTCAATTGAAACGAATGTTTGAGTAAACAGACAAATAAGCGATCTTTTCCTTTTGACAGGTCAAATATACTTCCGCACCATCTTAGACATTACGACCGCGCATACAGGGAAAACAGATGACTATATGAGAGACTTAGAGACATTGAATCTTAGTTAATTATTTCAAAATGCAACGGACATTTATGACATTGCAAAACAGAGACACGTTAACAGACAGCTTTCAAGGAAGTGAACCAAGACGACATACGCCTTTACAAGTTGAATGTGACGTCATTTGCGTTATCGTTTGGTTTAGGTAATTACAAGATGTTGTATCTGTATTCTGAAGTTGGTACAACATCTTGACGCGTATGTTTATAAATATTCCACAATAAGAGGTTTTTTTGCATTTTATGCCAAACGTAGACAGAACTGACAGTTTGACTGCAACTTTTATAATCGGTTTAATACCTTAAGAGTTTAATTATAAAGGCTTTTGTTTCTTAAATGCTTAGCTACTTTGGAATTTTAAAGCTTTATTAAAACTTTCTCTCTAACTCGCGTTTGCAGTTGATACTCTTTTGCTTAAAAAATTCTAAAGCTTAGATATGCCGCACTTTTCATCAATAACGAAAACTATCAAGGGTAATAAATTATTTTCGAATTTATGTTTTCTGATAAAATGCTGTTAATTGTTGGAAAGTAAAAAGCTTAAAAAGTATGGCAAATCCTTAGAATTCTAATATGTTATGAAATAATTAAATTGCTTTTAAACCTTCGTGCAAATTAATCTTTAGTGTTAGAATTAGATCAATTAATTGATAATAGAGATAAAAATTATTTCTTCAAAAAATTGATTGGTCTGTTTAGCTTATAAAATACATATTTTTATGTAAAATGTAAGATGATGATTTACAAAGTAAAATAAAATCTTCCAAATAAAATTTTTGTTTTTCAGTTCTTATTCTAAATAATCCTTCAGACATTATTTTTTTGCTCTGTTGCTGTGAATGGTTAACCGACTGATATTCTATTCAGCAACTTGTTGACAAGATTTCAAATATTAACATCGTAGAAAAATTTCTGAAGCATTTTTGGCATTGTGCATAGAAAGTCTTTTGTTCAAATCCGCTTCCTCTTGTTATATGCTATGGTATTCAGTAAATATAACCAATTTAGCTAGTCAGATTCTGATTGTTTTTAGTAAAGGGAATCTGCAGATATGCGAAAGTGGCTTAAGGCATCTGTCAGTAAATATAAGCGATTCCAAAAGCTCGCAAGTGTCACCACGATCACTGATTATCCAATTGTTTATTGGCAGAAGGCTTACGCCACCCCAGAAACTTTTAAAGTCTCGAAATACTATTGTGACACTATAAGGCAGTATAGCTTCCTTTTGCTAGGTTGTATTCATTTTCAACATATACGACAGCATCCCTTGAAGTACAACCGACCTTTTTTGTATCTTTGTACTTTAATTGCACTTACGTTAAGACAATAAGTGCGTTTAAATCACCAGATTAGGTACATAGCCGAAATACAGTTGGCACACCGGTAAATGTAAAACCTTTTTTAAATGACCAGATAGCTACGTGTACTAGGCTGCTAAGTGTGCTAGAGTACTTGACTGCACACCTGAATGGTTTCGGTCTCCAATCAAGGCTCGACCCGTGCATGACTGGGAAGCTTGACTCTTTTTACCCAGTAGCAAAGTTGGCATACCTTGCCCGAAACAATGCTGTTAACCCAGTGCAGGTGTCCTTTCTCACATGCACTACACCAGTGCGTGAAGCTGTGAGGATGGCTCAGAGTCCTAAAAACTACGTTTGGATGCTAGGTGAAAACAAATACAAACAAAGTAAAAATCGTATTTAAGACTTGATTTCACTTCAGCTCACTTTGGCATCACCTTTGCTTCACCTTTGACCCACCTTTTGATTCACATTTGATTCACCTCGATCTCAACTTGGTCTTACCTTGACCTCATCTTTGACTCACCTTTGACGCAACTACGACTCACCTTTTTCTTACCTTTCCACGCTTTTATGTTTTGGTTGTTTGTTAATCTATTAAACATAATTGTTTGTCACTGCAAGGTCTTTTTAGGCTGAATGTGTTATTTTGTCTCTTGAACAGCTGGAAAAAGAAGCAGTACGTCAGAAACAATGATGACTTCAATGGTGTGACATTTAAAGGAAGGACGGACTCTGGGGTCATGGCTCTTAATGAAAGCTCTGTAGAGGTTTGTTTTTGCTGCTTGGCACACTTTTTCAATTTTACTTTTATTGAAGTATAAAGTATTAGGCGGTGTACGTTTTGTAATATATAGTATTTTTAGCGGTACAGAACTTGAAAATGGCATTGAGAAAGAAAACATTTCACAACATATTACTTAAAGCTTTTTCGTCTGACACTCCTCAGAGTATAAAACGTCAGAATAAGGGTCCGAAAGAACACGATGGAGAAAATACGGTAATACCCAGTTGTGGATCGAAAAAGGCCAATTAAAAAAATGCAAGCCCATGACCGGCATAGTTGACCAATCAGTGCCGCGAGCCTAAAGAAAATTTACCACTGGAGCCCAAGAGAGAAAACGACCTTTTTCTGTCTACACAATGGCGGCTTTTTTATTTTTTTATTTTATGAGTTTGTGGTATTGTGTTGTATATATATAATGTTTAAGCTGCTGAAAAACCAGCTTTGTTTTGGCATTAACTGTATTTGTAATGATCTTGCAATGATGAGAAAGAAACATTTGATTCAGAAGATACAATACTCCAGATATTTTGCAGGATTACCGTGTTGAAGTAGACATTAACGCCAAAATAGCGCGTTTAAAACGCAATTAACGAGTTTTGTTTTGGAAAGAAACAGTTTGCTTGTAAAATTTCGTAGAAAAGCAGCTTATTTGTTCACTTCAAAGTGTCATTTATGGCACAAGATTTAACCAACAAAAACTGTTTAAACATGTCGAAGATAGTATCAGTTAAATTACATTTAACATCTAATGAACTGTATCATCTATAAAATTCTTATCATCTATAAAACAGCTCACTTTCAAAATACGAAGTACAATCATTTTTAGAAATAAATGAATCAATTAAAAAATCTTATTTGTATATATTTGAAGTTCTTTGATTTCCTTGGAAAATTTATAATCAGGATTTTTAAATAGTAACTCTTAACTTGCATCAAATTAACACACTAATCTTAAAATAAAGAAACATTATTTATTTTACAATATTCTTTCGAAACCTGTGCACCTTCCCGTAAAACATTTTTCACACTTCTTCAAACTTTTGAGAACCAATCTATCTTTCTCTGATAACCTTATAACTTTCATTTGTCTCCTACATGCCTAACAAATGTTTTCCATATTTGCCCATTTTTTACTGGACGCTGTGGATAGTTATGTCAAGTTTTTGTTTGTAACTTTTTCTGCTTCTCATCATATTCTTTTGTCTGCTTCTCTTGTGAGGATTTTCGAGTGTTTTGTAATTTTTTTCATCTGGAAATTTTTGTAATATTCTTTTATTTTGAGTAGCCGGCAAACCAAAAACTGTACCCTAATGTTTTGAATCACTAAAAGTTCGTTATTTATAGTGGTTGCCTGCAGACATTACATCCACTTGCAGTAGATAATCAATAGCATTGATAATTTCCAGCCTCACTGAACTGTTATTGATCTACTCGAAGTTCTTCTACTAAGAAGGTTTTGAAACATTTGAAAATTGCACGGTAAAGTGGAAAATATTGCATGCGAAACCTTTTTTAAGCCGATACTCATTGGGTTGTCAACGTCTGATAATGACCAAAAGATAAGCAAAATTGGACGAAAGAAGTGTTAGATGAAAAGTACTTATGTGTGCTACATTTTGTGTGCTAAAATTTTGCAGTAGTCAAGGCTTATGTTGTTATTAAAATATATTACCGACAAAAATTGATCATTCTGATACAAAAACTAACGCTTTTTTTTAATCCGTCAGTTAAACCTTCACCCCTCTGCCATCAAAGTTAGAGTAAAGCTACTTTAATGTTTTCAAACTTACTGCTGTATTAACTTCAATACAATGCACTAAACGTATCGTATACTTGAAGTATCGTATACTTCAATACAATGCACTAAGAATTATGGCAATATTTGCTTTGCTGACAGTATCTCGATCATCTTTAACTCTTTCAGGCATCATCTCGATTTCTGAAACCATTAAAAGATACTCAGATTTATCAGTCTAAAAGGTAAAAAAATTTGATCATAAAAGAATGATAAACGTCAAATGTATAGTTCATAGTTGTCAATGTATAAATTGTTTTATGTCGTTTCCAGTTATGTAAAGCCTGGTTTCCATATGATCGCAAGGATCGCCAGGAACGCAAGGGTCACACAAATTCGTGACCAGCAATTCTCAGCGACCCGTGCGTCATGTGGTTTCCATTTATCGCAACGATCGCACATACTTCAAACGTTGGAGCCAAAGCTCAAAATGGCGCGAGCAGATGACAATGAGATGGAAAGATTTTTGTTACAGGCTAACTGTTTTTTGATAATGGCGTTGCTGAAGAGAGTTAAAGACCATCAGCGGAAAAGGAAACAAGTTTTGGGTCAGAAAATTTTTGCAAAAACGGATTTTATAATCTCGGTTATGTTTCTTGTATACGCAGTCGTATTTCTGAACTTCCTCCATAAATTTAAGATTCTCTGATGCAGCAAACCCCCACAACGTGACTGTAGAAGCGAGGCTTTCCTCTTGAAAGAGAGGCCTCGATCGCTGGCAAAGTGAACCAGACAGTTTCCATTTTGACCAACGATCGCTGGTCACAAATTTGTGCGATCCCTGCGTCGCCAGCGATCCTTGCGATCAAATGGAAACCAGGCTTAAGTTATAAAGATACGCTTTAGTGTGTAATTTCCAAGTTTCAGGCCTAATACGATCATCAGGCAACTATAATGCACCCTTAGCCGTTTTGAACATTTCGTGTTTCCTGATGACGACATTAGGCGAAAGAGTCGAAGCTTTGCCTAATCTTTATGTACAGCTCTGCCTTTACTTCATTAAGCATTGCCTACAGATCGGTAAACTGTAATTTTCTTGGGCTTTAAAGTAGTTCGAATGTTAAGGATTGGACAGAAGCCTTACTGATTATTTTCTTTATATATCCATTAAAAAGTTAGAATACATAAATACAAGCTACGCTACTTACAAATTTACTTTACAATACTACTCGGACGATTCTGCCATCAGTGTTGACTCTTTTCCTGTAAATGCGAGACCTTAAAAATCCCCTCTAAGATTTTCAGTAGCTCTGTTCATTATGATATATAACTACACATTTTTGTATCTATTGTTATCCCTATCTTTTCACAACTCGTCTTTTCAAAACATTTGAATGTGAAAGCAATTCCCAAGCTAAAATCTTTTCGCAGCAACCTTTCTGAAAATCAAAATTCACGGACAAGCAATTCGCTCCTACTCCCGATGAAGGATCTCTGCAGTATTGCAGGTCCTTTTTGGAAATTGCTCAAAACCTCTTTGTACAATTGTATTGAGCACAGATTTTGATTTCCTGTCAGACTTTTAGGCCAGATGGAATCTTTCATTTTGTTTGTGTTTGTATGGTGGATTATGTGTCAATGTAAAGTTTGAGAACTTGTAATAGATTTGACCGCAAAAATTGTATCGGATTGAACTTTTCCCTTTTAGTCACTTGTGATAGTCAAATCCTTTATAATTTTTTTTTATTTAATATTATCATCAAACCAATCTACCGCCATGAAAACTTGAAAATAGACCAACATTTTGGCCCTTATTCCATATCTAGAGTAAAACATTTTGACCAAAGAGTTTTGAAATATTTTTAAAAACGAGACCGTAAGTTGAATTTGTGTATTCCTTCTACTGCCTTTAGCCTCTGATGCTCATCTTATTTTAACATCTAATACGTCATCTTATTTGCAGATCCACGGAGTTTTCAACCGTCCAACCTAGTGGCCAACTAATAAAGAAAGCTTACACCAGTACAAACGAAGATTTAGAACAATGTGAAGTGCTGTTACTTAATTCTGAATTTCCGGTGTGAAGTTTACGGTTTTTAGCTGATTTGGGATATAAATAGAAGTAAATTGTCATATGTTTTTTTTATTGTCCATTTTAACGAGGTATATAGTTAATTGATATAAAAGGGTCTTTCCAATTATCAGAACTCACTTAAGCAATTTTCGTACCCCCTTTCTTTCTTTTTTAATCTGAATGTGGTTCTTGACGAGCCAAAAATGATCCAGGAACGTTCTTTCCAGGTAAAAACTTTCACATCTAGCCAAAAAACTGCCAAACACTATCTACTACAGTACTGTTCAGTTACGCATTTAGATTTATTAGGGTGTAGCAGTTTTCATTAGTGAAAAGCAGTTTCATGGCAGAAAATCGGAAAATTTATACCTTGTATCTACGGACAACGATTTTTTTAACATTGTATGCTATTCACATGTAACTACCTGAATTAGCTGGTTTTCTAATCCACGTATGCTCTCAAAACCTACAATCTATTGATAAAAATATCATAATCAACAAATTTTGTTGTTTGCAGATTTTAGAAAAACATATCAACTTTATAGAAAGGTATTGATTTTCAAATAATATTGTGATATTCGCTATTGTTTATTTCACCCAATGGACACTTTGTCCTTGCTGTAGTTCATTATAATCTGTATTCATTAGCTTTTAGCTACATGGCTGGCTTTTTTCTCTCCCGTATTCTCTGTGGCCCAATGCTCAGTGGTTAGGATCGCAGATTACAGATCCATCCAAAGGTCTGGGGTTTGAGTCCCTGACATGACTTTCACTTATGGCGAAGAGAGTCGTCAACTCTCTGTAACACCAGGCGAAGGAATGGTGAGGTGTGGTCACATTGAAAGGAAGGACCAGGACACTGCTCGATAAGCATAGCTCATCGTCTCCTTACTACTGTAACAAATACAAAACACGATTATGTTTCAGGCTGACTGTTTTGATCATTGGAGGGATGCTTATGGCATGCCATACAGTCCCCAGACTGCAAAGTGTATTGTTTGCGCGGGGAATTGTTTTCTACTGCTTATGCTCGCGTTGGAACAAATAATGTTGCAAAGTAGCAGGCTAAAAGCTGCGGGATTCAATTTTTTAAATAGCATTTGCAAGCCCTGTTGTGGGGCTGCGCGCGGGACTCACACGAAAATCCGTGCTGCAACTAAATTTGAATTTACGCGCGGAAGGGATTTTAGGAAAAAATTATTGCGCGGGGAACGCGTTTCCCTTTCCAAAATGATCTGTTTCGCGCAGAGGCGCCGGAAGCTTCAAGATGCGGTGGGGGCAGGAACTGCAGAAAGGGCACCTGGGGGTATCACGGTTTGCTGTTGAAGCAGATCGGGAATCGTCGTTTGGCCAATGACGAAGCTAGGTTGTAGATGAAGACCTTTTCTAGGTAGAGAAGGTCGGCGGTCTGGAGCGGGACCTTAGAAAATTTTTGCACTGTTAATGGGAGAGCATTCATAAAAATTTATTTGAAGCAAGACTACCGACAAACGTCATTCTCGGAAATTCATTGGTAGGCTTTTGGTCCAAAATCTAAGATCTCTGTTTTGTGTGCAATTATGTCAAAATTCACAGGAAAAGTGTAATTTGTAATGCCGATTTCAAATTTGTTGTCAAAATGTTGATATCAATTAAGGTTACCATGGAAACCAATCAAAATTACCCTGATATCGTGGTATCGTTAAGTTTTTGCAAGAAAGTTTTTTATTTTAATTTTTTTAAAGCTTCTTACATATCAAACTGATTCATAGGGTCTGTAGAATGGGGTTGAGGTATTTAAATTTTGTTTTGTTCAAGGACAATATTTCAAACATGAACTCAAAACGTAGATTTTTCATTCCTAAATATGCTTGTATTTCCTCAGCCTTTGCAGTCAGACTGCCTTCAATCAAAAAATGATTAGCTTTACCCCCATTCTACATACACTGGGGAGCAGTTTGATATATAGTTTTCTGTGTTTACCTATTCTTAAAAAAATCTTGCAGAAACTAAGCTGTGCTGGTAAGCTGAAAACACTGTTTAGAGAAAAACGCCCTTCAAGTCCAAACTGATGTTAAACTATTAAGATTTTTCAAATTTGAGCTGCAATTCACATGATCTGCCTCTTCAAATTTTCTATAAATGAAACTATACCAGGTACAAACAAAGTGAATTTCTGTGGAATCTAAATTTATTCTTGTCACATATTTAGCAATTAAAAGCTCTGGCAGCATATTGTTCTCCTAACAACTTTTTTTTGTATTTTTAGTCCTTGTCTCATACTTCAGCTGTACTCTTCTTTTCTTTGCTGCAAGAGTGCTTGCTCTTTCTGCTCTTTTGAGTCTTTCAATAGACTTTGATGCTGCTTGCCTCTCTAAATAATCCCCTGGTACAAGTCCTAATGTCTGACAAAGGACACTCTTAAATGAGCAACCCATACTAAACTGGCAAACAGCTAAAGCAATGCCAGTTTCTAGGGTCTTTCTGCCAACAAAATTTGCTTTTGGACAAAGTTTTCAAATCAAATTGTGCAGAGATTCATTAGAGTTTTGTGTTTGACTCCATGCAAGCGTTCCAGCAATACTTCATCTGAGAGGCGTTTAAAAATTGGCACCAGCTTTTTTCCAATGTCCATTGGCAGTGTATCATGGTCTTTATGGGTTCCAGGATCTGCTGATTCTGCAAGGCCTTTCTGCCAAAAAACACCAAGATGGTCTCCAGGTGGACAATGGAGATGTCTTGGTGAGCTATCAGTCGAAGAAAGTTGCATCAGAATGGCCATTATATGTGTCTTTAGTAGCTGGATATCTGATGCACTGCCTTTGATAGCCCGCCCATAATAGTTTTGGATCTTTGAAATTTTATCTTGTGTCAGCTTACCCTTTCCAAAAATGTTATCATTCCGGGCTTTGGAAACTGACACCAAATTTCTTAAAGCTGACCCCATTCTTTTCGAAACATGGTTGATGCAGTCTTCTTTCTCTATAATGTATTCTGGACCATATAAAACTAATTTACTTACAGCATCAAATGCTTTGCTGTCCCCATTACATAAAATAGTGATGTACCTGAGCTGATGGCTATCCACTGACCTGCTCCAAAGTCTTTCTGCACAAACAGCCTCCATAGCACTTGCAGATCCATCAAAATTTTTGTGACAGTTCATTGAATGTTTTGCTTTCCAAACTTTATCATCTTTCTGATTCTCCGCAGCCTTACACTTGAAATAACAATTTGACAGGACTTCATAATCAATTGGAAGTCCTGTAACCAAATCAATCACTGTACCCATACCATTGTGAGATGTGTACCATGTCTTTTGCCAGGACCCATCAAATAAGACAGCAATTTTCAAAACACCAACTTCGTCAGACCGCGCACCAGTCTAAATGTGGGAGGGCCGAAAAGGGCGTGACAGAAATTTTTTTAGGCCACGCCCTCTAGAACACCGGAAAACGCCCCTTTTTGAAAATACTGGCTTATTTCTACTGGGGTTTTATAAACAATCTGTTTCAGAGAAGATATCAATAGCTAAAAAGATGGATAAAATAAGCTTGGGGATAATAAAACAGCAAGAAAAACACCTAGAAAATGAACAAAAAGGGTTCCCAGTCGAGAAAAATTGCTACTCCTTAGGAGTATACGATTCAATGTTGCGTTAGAGCATAGTTAGAGTAAACTTTCAAAAAAATTTCTAACCAATTATCGCAAAAAAATGGGGGGGGGGCTATAGCCCCTGCTAGCTCAATGTCTGCGCGGTGCCTGACGATAGCCTTTCTGAAATCACAGCTTCTGTCACGAAAGGTTCTAGCACTGGCCTCTGATATTTTTTGGTAGGCATTATGAATAGCGACTTAAAGAATTCGGAATGTTCACAGTGCTAGTCCATTCTTTCATCGAGCTGTAGCCACATCCAATCCCACGAAATGCCAAGTAGCCCTGATGTTGATGTCAAAGGGATCGTTTTGTGAGGTTGACCCTCCGACTCGCTCACAACAGGGCCTAAAATAAGCGTGTCAAAAGTGTGGATTTGTAAATAATGCATGTTCTTAAAAATGCAGCATAAAATACCAATCGAAACGCCTAAGAAAGAAATGGGAACATTTTTTGAATTCGAAGTGAATGCCCAATGCCAGCCTTATGTATTGCGTTCATTTTTTACAAGAAAATTGCAATAAAAAATAAGCAATGGACAATAAAGAAAAATTAAGAAACTTCAGAGCTCGAAGCTTCAGTACATGCGGATAAAATCAATTGCGCTTTATGTTATTGTTGTGTGCTATTTTGAAGTAATATGGACTCTGTATACAGTAGCAGTTCTGCTGGGAACACGTTTTTGTTCCTTTTGGTGGTGCTTTTTCTTGTGTGGTCAAAGATAAATTTGTATTTTATCTAACTCGGTTTTGTATGTGTTTATGATTAAGGACATAAAGAAGCAAATATTTTCTGAAAGGGATGTTTTCCAGTGTTTCAAAGGGCGTGGCCGTACAAAAGATTAGGGACAAGACTCCTAGTCCCGTTCCAGCCACTCCCTTGTGGGCTGGTGCCAGTGTGACCTGGTCTAGCGTCATATTGCATAATATTGACCAAAAAGCGTCATTTAGCATAAAATCTAGCATAATTTTGAATCTAGCATAACTCTGGCATAAGTCTGATATTTTTTAAAAGAATCATTGTTTCCATTGATACATTGTCTATCGCTACCAAATGTAAACACTTTACACCAGCATCTGTGGTTTTATTTTGGGAGTAAATTGTGACTTTCCACCTTCAAGATTTTGCCAATTGTTTTAAATGGTTGGCAGCCACATATTTGGTGGTTGGCAGCCAAATGCAGCCAGCTAAACGCAGTATACAAAAAAGCTAAATTTTTGCTAATTATTGGGAGTGATACCATCATCAAAATTTGCTTTGTAGGTTACAAAAGTTTTCACTTGCTTTTATCTAAAACTGTCTCTTATCTTTCACTTTGTTTCATCATTGATCATTTGCAATTTTGAAATTATTTTAAAAAGATTTAAATATTATCTTTGCAAACATTTTTGTTTCCTTTGCATTTGTGTTGCTTTTGTTTGCAACATGCTGCCAGAATTCAGCCAAATTTTGCTTCTTCGGCCAAATCAATTTATGATGGTCTAGGGGTTTTGAGAAACAGCCAAAATTGAGAAATTTGGCAATCAAACCATGGATCTAAATTGCATTTTTGTTTATCAATAATGAGTACACTGCGTTGTCAAAAAGGCCAAATCGCAACTCTGCCAATCAGACGTTGGAATGAATTGGATGTCACCTCAGTAACGGAAGATTACCTCTCCCATTAGAAATTTTCATTTTAATTCACAGGTAGCCCAGAGCAATATGGTTTGATTATGATAGGAATCCCTGAAAGTAAAGCTTCAAGTTGATGTCTGGTTTGCCTATGTTTTGAGTCCAGGGTTTGGGGGAAAGGCTTACGAAGTTATAATGAAAGTTTACAACATTATAGGAGAAAATATCAGCTGATTTGAAGTCGTTTCTCGCAAACCTCTCGAAAATCGCTGTAAAACAAACATTTTCAATAAATACTATGCGGGATAATAATCTACAATAGTCAAACAAGCTTTTAACTAGAAAACAAAAAAATCGTGAAAAATTTCAAAAAATCAGATTTTAGGACCAGTAGACTTCCTCATTTAACCCAACATCAACCATCAAGGGAGGCTAAAGCCTGGCTACAAAGATATATATGTCATTTTCTGGCTTAGTTGTGTGTAGGCCTTGCTGCAAAATCGAAAGAGGTGGCCCTGGCCCTTTGCGAGCGAAGCAAGCAGAAAATTTATGGCGGCCATGCCCCTAAATTACCACGAGATGCATTTCAGAATGTCTTACTAACTGCTTTCACAAACTGGAAACCTCAAGGCCAATGGCCAATTTTCCATCGCCACCACCTTTCGGTAACCCTTGTTATGAGCTTGTTTTTTGATGTTTCTAAAAGCAGATCGAAAAGAAACATTTTAGATCATCGCCCCAAAAGCTCACCCCTTTGCTCATTTCGTATAGCACCTAGTTTGTATATTCAAAGGCATTTTGTTATGCAGTTGGCAAAAAGAGCAACTCGGTGAGCTGCAGAGGGGCAGGTAAGCTGAAATTTTGGGGGGAAAGGGGGTACGTGCCAACTGTGCCCCCACAGCTCTTATTCCTTTGATTCTGTTTAGGACATCATTGATGCGTTGACTGATATATCGAATATATGCGAGCCAGCATTAGTAGCAATCTGAAATCAGTTCAGCATGATCATGAAAGATAAAGAAAACTTATCAACGAAAATATTTTCGGTGGTCAAATCACTTTGCAAATCGATTTTCAGTTCTCGTCAAAGTCGAAAATATTGACTTTTGTCTTGCATGAAGGAAGATATCAAGAGATGCTTGAAGAGATGATTTCAATAGCATTCAAAATATTTTTATGAATTAATATTACTCTGAAATCAATTTCTTGAAAAAGGGGACATTGCTGACCCCGTGCTGTCCCCGGTACCACTAGGGCAACGGGGGCAGCTGCCCCCGTGGCTCCGGCACCCTTGGTTTCGCGTTGGTAAGATTTTATGGTAGCTATGGCAACGTAAGGAATAACAGCTACAGCAACAACTACGGGTCCAAAATTATCAACATGGCGGGAAGGGAAGACGCTGCAAAATATTATCTTAATCAACACCGAATACCTGAACTATTACAAAACATTACGTCAGCTCTTGTATATGACAGACCCGGTAGGATAGTCTACTTCTTTATTTATCTTATTTTCAATACGATTTACGCAGCCTTTTCGAAGAATTGTGTTAATTTTTGCTCCATAATCACTGGGCATTTAAATGGTTCAAACTCAAAATCGTTTAACAGCAAAAACAGATATTAATTACAATATACCAAACATTCAAAGTTAAAATACAAAATGGCTCGCGCTGTATGTCGCATCGATGGCTCTACTATCACATTCACAATTTAGGATTATGAGTTATCATTATGCAATAAAAGTTTATGTGTAGGGATGGATGTGTGCCAGTCTGCAGAGTATGGCATGTGCACACCGGATATATTTTTGTGCAAAACCTGTTGCACACCGGGTATTTTTGGGTGTGGCAAATAAGATTGGTGTGGCTTGGTGTGGTCCCATAGAAAATGTCAGCTGATAAAAACAAGCACAGATGTGTATGAACAATTTGAGATATCATGAATCTTACTTGACAAATATACAAATAAAAACTTGCGCTATCTTCAACAGTATACTTCACACGCATTTTTACGGTGAAATGCAAATTCACAAATTTTAACCACAACAGGGGAAAATAGTCGGTGCACACCAGCACACCAGACATTTTTGGTGGTGCACACCGGCACACCAGGCTTTTTGCTCACACACACACCGGAGATCTCATCGAAAAGTGCCACACTCTGCAGACCGGAATGTGTGCATGATTTTCTAGAGATATTCTCAATGTTTTTGCTATTAGTGTGGTTTTTGTGTAGTTAATTCTAAAAACACTCTTTCGACCCCATATTTTTTTCTTTTGATTTTAGCAACACCCCATTTCTTCATATTTCAATTTACTCTAAGCATGCAGAGCAAACGTCAGCTAATGTTATTCATTTTCATTTCATTTTGAATTTTTTTTATCCCATTAATTTTCAGTGATTTTCAGGGGGCTATTCCAGAAACTTAATTAATAGAAATCTACATAAACTAGTAGTAAGAAATGGAAACTAATAACAATCATAAAAAGTTTATTAACAAATCTGTACATTCAATTAGTAATAACCCTTTAAAAGGTGGTAACAAGGTAGTTTGCTTGAAAATTTATCTCCATGAAATGCGAACCCCTTCTGTGAGTCATTACAAGTTCTCATTAATGGTACTTGCAAGTCAGTTTCAGCATTCCTGAGGTTGATTTGTTGATTTGATGAGTTGATTTAGAATTTCTCAGAAACAAATACGAGAGATAAACAGGCATTCCCGCGCAGAACAAAATACTTTACTGTCTGGCAGCCCAGAAAATATCCAAAGTGCTATTGCAGGCCTGGCCGTTTGTATTTTCATAGGTGAGCTGTGAATTGCTCCCCTCATTTGCTGAGGCGAGCTAAATCAGTAACACATAGAATGTACTTTAAAGACAATCGACAGATGACTTAATAAGCCCCTTTAGTATCTGTTGGTTGCCTTAATGTAATAGCCTCAGTCAGGAGTGTGCTGTTTTACTTCTTTCAATTTGCATTTTGCACCCCCTTTACTTGAAGTATTTGAAAGAACAGACTCTCTCCGTTTTATGTAAAGCTGGCACAACACAAAAACAACAATTCTCTTGCAAAACAATCTTTTTGTTGCACAGAATTTGAAAATGGCTTTAAAAAACAAATTTTGAAACAAACTTAATTATACGTCTAGCACTCTTCAGAGAATAAAACGTCAGAACATAGAAGGAAAACTCTACGCTAAAATACCCAGTTTTGGATCGAAATAGGCCATCAGAAAACGCGAGGACATGACTGTTGAGGTTTTCCAATAAGTGCCCCTTTCCTATTGAAAATGTTACCAACGGAGTCCTAAGGTGAAAACGAACTCACTTATGTCTACACAAAAGCAGTCGGCCATGTTGATATAGTAGATAGATTCACAAACTGCTACATAGATGGAACGATGATCAGGCTTTGCCAATAATGCGAAACATGTCGCCGTTATAGTTTTTCACCCAATCTGGGTTTTTCAGTAAATGCTGCTGGATAGTGGAATTCCATGTTTTGGTTGTCGTTTTTGATCTGCAAGACAGAGTACCCTGTTCTCTTTGAGGGATAGTTTTGTTTCTATTGCTGGAAGGGACCTGCTGTCTTATTATATCCCCAATCACAATTCCTACCCATTTCTTCGACTTTCCTTCCAAAAATATTCCTGTTTTCTCAGGATCGAAAGGTTCTAATCGCTACAAACGATGTTTGACTATTTCGGTTAACGCTACAAACGACCTTTCGGTTAACTATCCTTTTCCAAATAGATCGAAGTTTTTGCATATCATAACAAAAACCGCCCAACAAGCAAAAAGTTAATTGCAAAAATTGCAGTGACGGGAGAAATCGCTGTTACAAAAATAAGCCAATTAACCCCGTTTTCAGGGTTCTTTGAATAGGAAAAGGGCAAATGAATGGAAATTTTAGGGGAGCGATTCTCCCTTCATGTTCTGTTTAGGAGAGCAATTCATAGCTCGCCTCAGGTTGCGAGGGGAGCGTGGAGGCGAGCGCGAGCTATCGCTCGCCTCAAACGGCCAGGCCTGCTATTGAACTTCAAATACCATTCCCTAAAGTATTCCTAAACATTCGCTGTGAAATTGACTTTCAAATGCATTTTTTTGTTGAGATGTGGTTAACTCAGATTATTTGTAATTCCTGTGTATTGATATACCTGCTTTGTGTTGTCTATGTCACTTGCTTGGGTCACAAAAGATGACTAGAATTGTATTAACTAATGAGACATTTATTCCTCACAATTTACCGATTTGCGCAAGCAAACAAACACTCACATGGTTGGGCTTGCCAGAGTGCTGACGTGATCATGAATGATCGCTCATGTCAAACAAAAAGGTCTGGGTTAAAAAGAATAATAGGCCTAAGAAACACCCTTGTAAGATGCCACAGCTGATGCTGCAGATGGGTCATTCCATGTAAATTCACTAGATGCCATGGACACCTTTTCAAACTTCTATCACATGAAACTTTCCTGGGAAAAATATAATGCTAAAAGTTTCAGCTCGATTGCTCAATTTTTTAAAAGTTAATGAGCTTTTAAAGAATCATTGCTAACAATGGGCTTTTGCAAGCGTGATGATGATCCAAACAATGGCAGAAAACTTCTATGAATTAACCCAAATTGATTTTAGACTGTCTAAAAATTCATTGTGGGATGCTTGCAAAGTGCAGTGGCTCATTGTTAGCAATGGGTCTTAAAATTTTGTGAAAATCAGACAAAATTTGACATTTTGGGCTTCAACCACAATTTAGCCAACTTTGACATTCAATAACTCAATAGTGCTAAAGGATATCAATTTTTAATTTGGTTTCCAAGTAGGTATCCAACCAAATAAGATATTTCTGGAATTACTTTTCTACTTAAATTTACTATTTTTGAAGATATAGCTTGCTCTAAAAGATATAAACACTGTGTTAGGGTCGTCCTTGAACTTTTCAAGAGGCTATCGACAGGGCATGAATGAAACCATCTCTTCAAATTTTTTTGAAATCATTTAGCAGATTTGTTGGCATTTAGAAAATACTAGAAATAAATTCCTTTTTATTATAGGCCATGTATTAGGCCACATTTTAGAGGGTAATTTGAAAAATTTCAGGAATTCCTTCCGTTTCGAGACTCGGAAAAGTAGCGTAGAGAGTTGTAACTGAATTTCAGATTCAGGCATTTTGAAAGATTCACATAAGATCTTTTATTTCAGAAAGTTTAAAGAGTGGATCTAAATTAAAAGTGACTAGAATAACCTCTGTTTTACCCATGAATTTTAGAAAATGGCCTTATAAGGGATGACATTGAATGTGACAGAAAACACTGAAATTATGAAGCTACCATAATTAGAGTATCAAACTGTAATCAAAATGTTTTAATGATAAATTAATCAATCAACCATGACAAACTACAAAAACGCATTTTTATCTGACAAAAGTTTCAATAGAATCTGAGATGGTGTCTATGGACACTTTTTGGTGATTTGGTAAGGAATGACCCAGATTCTAGATTCCATCCCTTTAACCTTTGGTGAATTGATGCCTATTGCCAAAGGTTTGATTTAAACTATTGAAGTAAAAGACCTTGAATTCATACTTTTCAAGCATTCATACTAATTTTTCAAGAAATATCAATTTTTCAACAGTATCGACAGCCTTTGGGTTGGATATAGGAATTTTACTGTAAATTTTCAAAAAGTTTTGAAGTCCATAGGTCATTTACATTCTAATAAAAGTTATGAAGTTTTTGATAATCAAAGAAGTGATATGAAGCCACTGCTGGAGCATTGTGTACTGAAAACAGTTAGTTACATACATTCTTTTAATCATTGTTAGAAGATGTGATGTTGATTTTTGCAAGATTTCCTCGCGCTCTTTTCATAGAATTGCATCCCTGCAAGACAAGGTTTCTTGAAACCCATTTTGATTGTTTATCTAGATAATTTAGTCTTTTTAGAGAAAAAGAGGAATAATTAGCTTTTCTTGATAAATTGAGTAAAATATTTTTTTTTCATTTTAGTTGACCCAAAGCAATATATGATTGACTTTCTGAGGAGGCTTCAAGATTCAAAAGCTACACAGATGGATTATCCGAATATCTTTGATGAGTCAAACATTATATCTCTATTTGGAATACAAGATCCTTCTTCACAAGGGTACATTTCATATGAAAAATACAAGACAGGTTTGTTGATTTGCATTGTTATTAAGTAGTATCTTTGTATTGCTAATTTTCTAGCCTTTCATAAGACAAAATTTCATTTTTGCACGAAATAGAAGCAAAGTTCTGCAATTTGTTGAAGTCCATTCGCCAATATTATGACCTTACCTCAAATGTCTTATTCTTGAGATGGGCAGACAATACAAGTGGCTGTGGGGGTATGACACCCCTCCCCCCTAATCTGTGAAATTCTTTGAGTAAGTTAGAAATTTGAGAGTAATCACATGTTGAGAATTGTCTCAGTTCTGAAAGGAAATGACCTCAGCTTATTGTCAATTGGAGATTTTGTACCCTTCACCCTTCTAAAAATATCCATCAATTTATGCCCCTGTCTGGAGAGGAGGTATTCCTAAATATTCTGTATAATATTTCCCCTTTTCTGCTATTTTTATATTTCATTATACTTTCTTGGTCAAATACTGGGGGGGCAAGCTTATTGTTTTAATGAGATGATATCACATTTTCCCATTGTTTTTAAACATTGTCCTCCAAAGTATTGGGGAGGGGGCAAACATGCCCCTCACCCCATTTGTCTGCCATTGAAGCAAAGCTAAATATAAAAAATTTCAAATGTCTTATAAGATGAATTATCAATTTCTCGGTGTGACTGAAAGCTTGCACATTTAGCAAATCATACCAAATCACCTCTAAATAATACCAGTTCAGTTCTGAATGATGAAAAATTGGCAGTTGTTAATTTTCAGTTGCAGTTGAGAAATATTCATATTTTTGATCATGTTGGCTGATGTCAGCCTTTCACAAGGGTTGCAAGAATGAGGCAGTTCATTTAAACTGCTTGGTGCAAAACGTTGGTTTTTACAAGAAACCATCTATGATAAACTGAGCTTCATAATGCCTATTAAATACACCACAGGACTGATCGGGTGGAACTTCTTTTGGAACATTCGGCACCTGTTTCCTGTTTAATTGACATGAATAAATAGAAAGAAGAGATAGCATTGTGACTTATTAAATTTTCAGTTTCATATTATTTCATGTTACGTTTTTGTGTTTCCAAACAGTAGCTCTTTAGTGCTTGGTACTCGAAAAACCGACAAGAAACTTTTAGCTCTGAAATCAACAAAAAATTAGGATACTGTGTGCCAATCCAGAGGTTATTTTCTTATAAAAACGAATATGGTATCACTTAGATGAATTTGTTTCTATATGCTCAAGTTTCTTGGATAAAAATCTCGATTTTTAATGGTCCAGTTGAAACAGAGTTTTTATTTCTGTTACTTATTTATAATAGTTCTCTTTGTAGCTATCTTTCTATAGTTTTAAGTTTAGATTTTTATCAGTACTCTCTTTGTAAAACTTTTTGCCTATTTGCAGCAATGGAAAATCTTGGAATAGCAAATTTCAACAGAAATCCGACCGGTGCAGACGTTGATAAAATTTCACTCGACGTATTTGTGAATGAAGCGTAAGTTTTAACTCTGTTTTGTTCTGCATGTTTCAGATTCGGCTGTTCGTTTTGAAGTTTTTAATGATCAGGGAAGTTGTGCCAAATAAGGGCCAGTGGCAATCGCCCTGAACGCATTTCTGTGGAATATATTTTATAATTGCTATTCAAATTTGTCATTCCACGTCGTGTTGCTGCTCAAATTTAGTGGCTTTTGTTCTCGCTGAATGACACGGCATATAAATTGTGTTTTTAATGTATAGGTATAATTCGACATATTCTCTAATCCTTTTCTACGTAAATGAACGAAACAATGCCGCGAATTGTCTTTTGGCGAATTGTCTTATGTTTACGGGAAAGCTAGAGAGAATTTACGAGAGGGCATTAACGTCAGCCTTGTCGGACTATTTGTTTTTGTACAAAGATTTGTTCTCTCTCTGGAAAGACGCTACAGTACTTATTTGATCAATGGTAGCTCTTATGATTTATGAAACTCTTTAAAACTTTAATCTTATTTTCATGAAAGAGTATGAGTATAATTTTTATGAGTTTCTAAATTTAAAAGCTATCAGATGTCGTCTCGGATCATTAAGTTTCTACGGGCCTAAAATTTGGGTTTCACGCCTAGAGAAACAGTTAAACAGTTAAAATCTATTTCTTGACAATAATTTTTGGCAATTAATACGTTCTTTTTATAAGAATATTGCTTAGCCTCAGCTCGCAAATTTGTCCATTGTTTTTCAGCAGTTGCCTATTACGCGATTTTTGCGATTACAGAGAATCGTTTGACTGACATATCTTATTTTTAAAAATTTATGGTTTCTATTCAAAAGTGAGTGATGTTCTCCTGAACCCATATCAGATTTGAAAAAATAAGAACACTTTAAGAATATTATCAGGCTCGAAGCGATATTCACTTGAGAATATTTAGGCAGGAGAAATTTATTGTATTCATATAAAAAGGAGCGTATTCTATGCTTTTGCATGTCAATGTTTAGTTACTATTGTGAAAATTAGCATCAAATAGATTACACAATACAATACACAGCAATACTCTACAAAACAAAACAGAAAAACGATACAATACAATTCAATACAATGCAATACAATACAAAGCCATACTATACAAAACAAAACAGAATAGCCATACAATACGATACAATAAATACAATACAATACAATACAAGCCTACGAAAAACTGGATGATATTTTTTTGATTGCGAATCGTGGATTTGTGCCATAAAGTAGTTTTCTACACGTGGAATCTAGATTGCTGCATCGATAGCATAAGAAATTTTTAAGGAGAATGAGAATTCTGTTCATTAAGCTTCATTAATTTTTGAAAGATTAATTTTGTTTTAGCTTAGAACATCTTTTTCTTCTATCCGCTAGGAAACAGGGCCTGTCAGGTGCATCGGCTACATTTGCAGTGTGAAGACAATTTTGCTTATGTAAATATTCTTTACTTTTGTTGTTCCATGCTTGTACATCCGATGTATTATATGCTTTTTATTCTAGTAAATATTTATCAATTTGTGTCTCACCAAACCTATTTTAATCCCCTCCTCTTTCTCCCTTCCCTTTCTGCAGGATTCAAGAACTCTAAAAACTGAAACGCTTTCTTATCTTTATTGCCTCAAAGTTTTAAAAAAGCATTCGGTCATGCAGATGCCGCTTTGTGCTGCGAATTCGGCATTGCATTGTAGGGCATGAAGCAAAGCTCATTTCAAACAAATTATTGCTGTTTTGCACGCACCGCCGAGTTGTTTCATTAATCCTTATCGCGCCGAAGTAGGTGTAAAAACTCTTTAATCCTTGAATCAAAGAAAATTACAAATAAAGTGGTTTTCGGTCATTGCACCCTGATGTACGAAACGTGCCGACCAGAAAATATATTCATTCACTTTACGATTTTCATTCACTTGTGCCGCTTGAGTGAAATTTTATAGTAAAAGAAATTTCTGCTGGTATATTCGCATATAATTATTTTTCAAGTGGATTTATTTTTAGCCTTTTTGGCTCTACGTTTTTTGATCGCTCCAGATTTCGTTGCCAATGCTCCAAGATTTTATATTATCAGCTATAGTACGACCATACAAACTCGAGATTAGCTCTAAGTCTCTTAATTTTTTTATTTGATACTAAACTATGCACAAAACTGCTAAAGAACCTTTTTAAATGGAACAATCTTGCGCAAAAATGCAGCTCTACATAACTCAACAAACGAAAGCTCAACATAGCATAAAACAAAATTTCCAAATCAGAAATATGTACCTGATTCTCTGAAAGAATACCTTCCCATCCCATCTTTAAAAGAAAGATTTTTAAGCAGTTCTTAAGGCCAGTTTCCACTTAAACGAAAGCGGTCGAATCGATCGATTTCGATCGATATCGATCGATTTCACACATGCGCAGATAGCATGCCGCGGACTCCCCCTCGACCGCTATCGACCGCTGTCGATCGAATTCGATCGATTGAAAAGTTCAAATCAATTGAACTTTTCTGTCGATCGAATTCGATCGATAGCGGTAGACAGGTATTTGAACCAATGAGATTAAGTATATTTTAGCATGTGATCAAGTTACTAGGAAATCAGGAAGTGGAAAAATCAACAAAAATCTATGAATAGGCAGGCCAACTTGAAATACGTAAATGCCACCAAACATTTTAATTCAAAAAGGGGAACTAACGCAATATTAGATTAGGCGTGTCTTCCTAGACGTCAGAATGAGTCAATCCAAGCAATTAAGAGCTACTAGAAAAATGGTGCTACGGCCGTATGATTTTATTTGTAAACAACATAATTTTCTAGTATGGCTTCCAACGTTCCTTATTCTAACGAAGAGCTAATGGCATTATTTACCAACATGCAAAATCAAAGCAGGGT